AAATTCAGAAATTCAGAAATTCAGAAATTCAGAAATTCAGAAATTCAGAAATTTAGAAATTCAGAAATTCAGAAATTCAGAAATTCAGAAATTCAGAAATTCGGAAATTCAGAAATTCAGAAATTCGGAAATTCAGAAATTCAGAAATTCAGAAATTCAGAAATTTAGAAATTCAGAAATTCAGAAATTCAGAAGTTCAGAAATTCAAAAATTCAGAAATTCATTTTCAAAACTTTCCAAAACAACCTCACATTTTCCTCCATATTCTCCGAACTCGAAGTGAGCAGCCCGACAGCAATTGGAGCTCCAAAATGAATAAAATATGCACAAAGTGAAATTACAGAAAGTGCGAAATGCACATGTTGGCGGCAACGCTAAAAATTAACTTCTGCGGAGCTAAATTTGTAATTTCGAGCTATTTTACCAATTTTTAGGAAGCAGAATTGAAAATTTTGGAGTAGAAAATATAAAATCGTGAAGGAGCTATCAAAATTAAAGATTTCAGTCCAAAAACCAAAGTTCTAGGACCTATGAGAGCCGAGATACAGCCATTTGAAGTTTTGGAGGCTAGAGACGCAGACGACGAGACACTCTAACTGTCTGCGTCTCTTAAAATTTTCAAACGGCTGTATTTCGGCTTCTATAGGTGCTAAAACGTTGGTTTTTGCAGTACAATGAAGGCCAGATTATGAGAAGTTTGAATAATTCAAAAATTTACCAATTGAATACATTTAACATTCCCAACAATGTTCAAACCAGAAACGTAATTGCAAACGTGTAAGCGAATTGAGCAATTCTTCGATTTTCAGTAATTGCCATCATAATTAGGCCGATTACCACACTTCCTTGGGAGATCACGGCGCAGAATGTGAAGCGGATCTGAAACATTCTGAACTTCGGAATTTCTGATCTTCTGAATTTCTGATCTTCTGAATTTCTGATCTTCTGAATCTCTGAACTTCGGAATTTCTGATCTTCTGAATTTCTGAATTTCTGAATTTCTGAATCTCTGAATTTCTGAATTTCTGAATTTCTGAATTTCTGAATTTCTGAATTTCTGAATTTCTGAATTTCTGAATTTCTGAATTTCTGAATTTCTGAATTTCTGAATTTCTGAATTTCTGATCTTCTGAATTTCTGAATTTCTGAATTTCTGAATTTCTGAATTTCTGAATTTCTGAATTTCTGAACTTCGGAATTTCTGAATTTCTGAATTCCTGAATTTCTGACTTTCTGAATTTCCGAATTTCTGAATTTCTGAATTTCTGAATTTCTGAATTTCTGAATTTCTGAATTTCTGATCTTCGGAATTTCTGATCTTCTGAATTTCTGAATTTCTGAATTTCTGACTTTCTGAATTTCCGAATTTCTGAATTTCTGAATTTCTGAATTTCTGAATTTCTGAATTTCTGAATTTCTGATCTTCTGAATTTCTGAATTTCTGAATTTCTGAATTTCTGACTTTCTGAATTTCCGAATTTCTGAATTTCTGAATTTCTGAATTTCTGAATTTCTGAATTTCTGAATTTCTGATCTTCTGAATTTCTGAATTTCTGAATTTCTGAATTTCCGAATTTCTGAATTTCCGAATTTCTGAATTTCTGAATTTCTGAATTTCTGACTTTCTGAATTTCTGAATTTCTGATCTTCTGAATTTCTGAATTTCTGAATTTCTGAATTTCTGACTTTCTGAATTTCTGAATTTCTGAATTTCTGAATTTCTGAATTTCTGAATTTCTGAATTTCTGAATTTCTGAATTTCTGAATTTCTGAATTTCTGACTTTCCGAATTGCTGAACTTCTGAATTCCCAACCAACCTTCTCCGACAAATGCTCCATTTTATCCGAAATCCTCCCAGCTGCGAATTTCACCAAAGCGCTTAGAATGAAAGGCAACGCCGTGGCAAAACCAGTCTCTTTGACATCAAAATGAAGTACATTTTTCAAATAAGTTGGTCCATATAATGTTAAAATTGTGAATCCAAAATTGCCTCCAAGGACAGAAAGCCAAGCCATGAGGACCGTTAAATCCGTGCAAATTTCAAAATATGGAACGCCTTCTTTTAAAATTTCTAATTTTCCGCTTTCAATTTTCTTCAATTCCTTTTCCGATACATTTCTATGAAATCTGGGGGAATCTGTATAGAAGTAAAAGAATAGAAAATAGGAAAAAAGAGTGAGAATTCCAAAAATGTAATAAATGGACCTCCAGCCGAGGTCAGAATCACAGAGTAGGCCAGAAACTGGCATACAAATAATCATACTCAATTGAAAAGCACACGAGAGAATCGCCAAAAATGTTCCAGTCTCGTTTTCAGCAGCCCAGACACCTGGAAATTCGTGGTTACGGATTTTTTGGGTTTTTATAGAAGTTTTCTATTATCATGAGAAATTCCAACCGAAACGATCTTCACTAAGAAAATTTCGGCTCTTTTCTAGTTTAGAGGTCCCAAAAAAATTTAGAGGTCCGAAAAAAAATTAGAGGTCCCAAAATAAAATAGAGGTCCAAAAAAAAATTAGAGGTCCCAAAAAAGTTTAGAGGTCCGAAAAAAAATTAGAGGTCCCAAAAAAGTTTAGAGGTCCGAAAAAAAATTAGAGGTCCCAAAAAAGTTTAGAGGTCCGAAAAAAAATTAGAGGTCCAAAATACGAAAAACGCGCAGATGTTGGAATAATGTACTAGTATTTGAACTGTGCGAGTAGTTTGAGTTTTAGGGTCTTATAGGATGACATGACTACTCCTAACAATTTTAGCTCCAATTCTCTCGCATCTTGCCGATGAACCCAATTTACATACAGTACCGCTCAAAAGGTTGTAAACGCAAGGTTTTTTGAGCATAACTACTTTTTGAGAGCAGATATCGAGCCAAAATTTTCACCAGATATTTCTGTAAAGGTTTGCCAAATCGTGGCCAAGTTTCATACAAAAATTTGAAAAAATTACGTTTTTTAGAGAAAAAATTGAATTTTCGAAGAAAATCAAATTTTGACCTAAATTTTTCAAAAAAGCATAATTTCCGAAAGCCACTTTTATTCAACACAAAACATATAAAAAATAACAAATTGAATCTAATATTTTGTTGCAAAGCCACGAGAGTCAATGACAGCCTGACATCTGCGCTGCATGGAGTCGAGCAAACTGTCGATTACTGTCTGTGGGATCTTCTCCCATTCCTCTTCCAGTTGTTGGTACTTTTCGTCCACATTTTTGGCTTTTTTCCCTGCCAATCTTCTCTCCAGCTCATCCCATAGATTCTCGATCGGATTGAGGTCCGGGGACTGGCTTGGCCAATCCATAACGCGAACTCTGCGGCTGGAGAACCAATCCTAAAATCGAAAATATTTTGAGACATCAGAATCTTTTGTACCTTGACGAATTTGGAAGTGTGTTTCGGATCGTTATCCTGTTGGAAAACGATCCCACGACCCATGGATTTGTAATGTGGCAGCATTTTGGATTCTAGGATATCCTTGTAGACGTAGCGATCCATGATAGTTGTGATGCGATGAATCGGTCCGATGCCTTTTCCGGAAAAGACACCCCAGACCATACAGCTGCCTCCACCGTGCTTGACGGTTGGTAATTGATATCTGGGATCATACCGAGAGCCAACTGGACGCCGCATCCATTGAATCCCGTCGCTTCCGAAAAGCATGAACTTGCTTTCGTCAGACCACAAAACCTGGTTCCAATCTTGACAAGTCCAATTGAGGTGTTGCTTCGCCCAGGCAACTCTGGCTTTTCTGTTCTTCTCCGAAATGAACGGTTTCTTAACTGGTCGTCTTCCCATGATTCCAGCTGCTCTCAAACGACGTTTGACGGTCGAGGTCGATGGGGAAACCGGACTAATCAAAAATACCTCCCGTCCAATCGCAGGCGCAGTCAATCTTGGATTGCTTCTGGAGACGCGGGCAATGTTGATATCATCCAGATGAGAAGTGACACGTGGGCGGCCGATATGATACTTTACTGGTTTACATCCGTGGCTCTTCCAGCGCTTCAGAAATCTAGAAATGCATGGTTTTCCTACGTCAAACTGAGAAGCTAGATCTCCAAGAGATGCTCCATTTTGGTGCCCCGAAAAAATGGCTTTTTGCTCCTCAACGGTCAAGTTACGCTTTTTCCCAGTTCTTGGCATACCTGAAAACTAAAAGCTACTAAAAAAACATTGAAAACATTGATAAATTTTGAAAAAAAATAGGTCTGAAAAAAAGGGCGAAAAACCCGAAAAACTGAAAAATCTGCAGAATCGCGTCAGCGTGTTTGCTTACAACTTTCTGACCGTAGTCATACCTTTTGACTTGCCCCTGTAGTTACCAGAAAAAAAATCACGGAATTTGGTTGGGTATTCGTTGAGTTATGCTCGAAAAACCCTGCGTTTACAACCTTTTGACCGGTACTGTATGAGGAAAATTTAGGCAATACAGTAATCACTCCGTGATTATGCTGTCTCTCAGGCTTAGATAATTGTCAGAAAATATGCATTCCTAAGCCTATTAGAAGTATAAAATATATCATCAACAATTATTTTGCTATAAGACCTCACTTTAAATTCTTACACAATTCAAATTTTAGTACATTATTCCGGTATCTGTGCATTTTTAAGTTTTGGACCACTATTTTTTCTTGGGACCACTAAACTTTTTTGGGACCTCTATTTTATTTTGGGACCTCTAAACTAATTTCTCACTGAGAAAGGTTCTTACTAAGAAAGATTCTCACTGATAAAGATTCTCACTAAGAGATATTCTCATTAAGAAAAATTCTCACTAAGAAAGTTTCTCACTGAGTAACATTCTCATTGAAAGATTCTTACTAAGAAAACTTCTCAAAAAAAAAAAAAGATTCTCATTAAATACTTGATTTAAAACTTTCGAACATTTTTAGTATGTTAGAATTTGTTTTTCAAACTTCATTTTAGTCAAAAAATCAACTGTCTAGAACATCTAGAAACTAAGATACATACAGTCGTTAGAAGAGACGCAGACAGTTCGAGTGTCTCGTCGTCTGCGTCTCTAGCCTCCAAAACTTCAAATAGCTGTATCTCGGCTCCCAGGTGGCCTAGAAAAGTGATTCAAGAGCCGAAATTTATTATTTTCTTTGTACTTTTTTGGACCTACAACATTTCCCATATTCCAAAAAAATTCTTACCTGGAATCACACCCACTACTGTAAAAACAATGGAAATTCCGAGGCCTTGAAGAATTCGACACACTATAACAGCATAAAAATTGTAATCCACTGCTAGCGGAAAAAATAGGGATCCGATGGCAGAAAGGAATCCACTGACTGTTAAAACAATTCGAATCCCTAATTGGTCAATTAAAGGGACAGACGGGATTAGACCAATTACTGCGCCAATAGCTGTGGAGGAGAATATAAAGGATTTGTGGGTTGTGGACTCCATCCAGTGGGTTCCTAGGAAAAAATGCGAATTTTCAGAAGATAGAAAGATTAAAAAGTTTGGAATTCAGAAATTAAGAAATTCGGAAATTTAGAAATTCAGAAATTTCAGAAAATAAAACTCACCACTCAAATTTTTTGTATAAAAATTTTCTACCAAGTCTTCCATACAAATTACCGTAAAATTAAAAGTAATCGAGTTAATTTGAGGTAGGGTTAGACAGAATAATCTGAAAATTGAAGATTTTTAGAAATTTAAAAAAAAACATTGGAAAATAAAAAATTTGATTTTTCAAAAAAATTTTTTAGAATTTTTTAAAAATTCCAAATTACAAAAAGAATAACTCACAATAAAACCATAATAAATAATCGGGTTCTATGCCCAAACACGAATTTCGAAACACTTCGTTTTCCTACATTTTCAATTTGTATGGAAATTTCAGATTCCGTATTTTCAGATTCCAAAAAATCCACGTCATCAGAATTCAGATGAGAATATGACGAAGAATTCAAAGAAGGCATTTTGGGAAGACGCTGATAGGAGAATGCCATTTTTCCAGGGGGGGATTCTTTTATTTTGATTTTTTTCTTTTTTTTTGTATTGCAAGAAATTTTTGGAATATAGTTTTTTTGTTTAGAATTGAATTGGTTTTTTGGACAATATACAATATTTTTGGGGAGAAAAGAGAACAAAAAAAAGTGGCGGTTTTATTGGTGAGAAGTTCTCATCAAACATTAAAATTGGACATCTTTGATTTTGTTTGACAAAAAAAACTCGGAAATTTCGAATTTTTGAACTATTTCAAAGTCAACAAAAATCCAAAATCTGGGCTCCATTTTAGTCTAAAAACCAACGTTCTAGCACCTCTGGGAGCTGAGATACAGTCGTTTGAAGAGACGCAGACAGTTAGAGTGTCTCGTCGTCTGCGCCTCTAGCCCCCGAAACTTCAAATGACTGTATCTCGGCTGCCAGGCGGCCTAGAAATGTGACTTAAGAACCGTAATCTGGAATTTTGGAATCGCTTTTTTTTTGCTTCAAAACTGAAGAAAATTTGAGATTTTCAAATTTCTCTAGGTGTCATTTTGGTCTAAAAATCAACTTTTCAGCAAAAAAAAAATCAACTTGGAAGATACTGATCGGAATTTTGAAAAATCTAGTTCCCAGACTTTATTTTAGTTCAAAAACCAACGTTCTAGCACTTCTAGAAGCCGAGACACAGTCGTTAGAAGAGACGCAGACAGTTAGGGTGTCTCGTCGTCTGCGTCTCTAGCCCCCGAAACTTCAAATGACTGTATCTCGGCACCGAGGCGGCCTAGAAAAATGATTTTGAGACATAAATTTACAATGTTTATTGTTTTATTTATAAATCCAAAAATCAAAAAATAAAATTTCAAAAAATTGGATTCCCTTGAAATTTAAAAAAATACCTCTTTGAGCATTTAGGCTCCGTTTTCTCTGCTTTTCCGGATTTTCCGAGTTCCGGATTTTTGAAAAATGACCGAATGGCCAAAAATTAAAGATTTTGGTTCCAAAATCCCGTTTCTAGGACCATTAGAAGCCGAGATACAGTTATTTGAAGTTTCGGGGGCAAGAGACGCAGACGACGAAATACTCTAACTGTCTGCGTCTCTTCGAACGACTGTATCTCGCCTTCTAGATGTGCTAAAACGTTGGGTTTTGGACTAAAATGAAGCTCAGATTTCGGGGAATTTTCCCAGTATTTAACAATGGTTTAAAGAATTTAAAAATTCCAAAAAATTGATGGAAAGTAAGACAGCTGCTCAGGACTCCTGAAAGTGGTCAAAACGACCAAAAACTAGAGACGCAGACGACGAGACACTCTAACTGTCTGCGTCTCTCCAAAACTTAGGACCGCTGTATCTCGGCTTCTAGAAGTGCTAGAACGTTGGTTTTCAGACTAAAATGGAGCTCAGATTTTGTGGATTTTTTTAGAAATTCCAAAATTCAATTCCTGAACTTTTCAAAATTCTAAAAAACTGCTCGAAAATCCCTAAATTTGGAAATTCCCTGGAGCCATTAGATGCACAGAAACGTATCTTTCAGTTGATTTTCGGCATTTTCAAGAGTCTGGAGCATTTATTAGACGAGTCTTTATTTCCAAATGTTGGGATTTTTGAACAATTCATGAATTGTTGACCAATTTTGGTCTTCTTTAATTCCTCAAAATCTGAGCTTCATTTTAGTCCAAAAACCAAGTTTCTAGCACTTTAGAAGCTGAGATACAGCCGTTCAAAGTTTGGAAGAGACGCAGACAGTTAGAGTGTCTCGTCGTCTGCGTCTCTAGCCCCCGAAACTTCAGATGGCTGTATTTCGGTTCCCAAAAGTTCTAGAAAAATGATTTTAGGACCAAAATCTTTAGTTTTTAATGCTCTTTTTTTAAATACTAAAATTTTTTCAAAAATTCTTCTAGCACTTGGTAGATAATGATCGGAATTCAAACATCTAGTTTCCAGCCATTATTTCAGATTAAAAACCAATCTTCTAGCGTTTCTAGAAGCCGAGATACAGCCCTTAGAAGAGACGCAGACAGTTAGAGTGTCTCGTCGTCTGCGTCTCTAGCCCCCGAAACTTCAAATGACTGTATCTCGGCGCCCAGCCGGCCTAGAAATGTGATTTTGGTACCAATTTGTTTTGTTTTGAATTCAATTATTTAAAACGCTAAAATAAAGAATTTTCCAAAAAAAATTTTTTCAGAATTTTTAATTTTTAAAAAATCAAAAATTGAGAATACTTCTAGAACTTAACACATGGAAAATTTATATATTGATCCAATTCCTTTTAGCCAAAATTTTCCAGTAATAAAGCCCCAATTTAAATGCTCCAGACTCTTGAAAATGGCTTAAAATGAACTAAAAAATACGTTTTTGTGTATCTTATGGCCCCAGGGAAAATGTATATCGCTCTAAATCCCCCCCCCCCCTTTATTCTAATTAACACCAACCGATTTCTATTTATCTTCCTCTAGAGATCTCGTCCGTCTGTTCTTGACATATTCCTCTTTCTTATCGTTTTACATCTTCTTCTTCTTCTTTTTCTTCTTCTTCTCAAGAACAATAACTAATTGCTAAACTGACACCTCGCTCTTCTTTTTTCCCCCTATTTCCGTTCCTCCTCTTCTTCTTTAATCGTTGTATTGACCCAATTTTTGTTGTTCTGTTATACTAAAAATATACTGGTTACATGATGCCATTTTCGAGAAACTTGAGACACTTTTCTGAATCCGTAAACGTTGTTTTTTTATGATTCTAGGTTAGAGGAAACCAATTTTGGCGCCAAAAATGCTCAAAAAAGGCTCGAATTTCCATTTCAATCGAGCAAATTGCTATGTGTTTTGACACTAGAGAAAGAAAAAAAACGGAGCAAAAATAAATGCCCTCCCCCTTCATTTTTATGTGCTAGATTGGTTTTTAGCTAGATTGGTTTCTTTATTTATTTTTGTAACGAAATTCCAATTTTTAGAATTTTTTCTTCCTTATTTTAATATTGTACAGAAGAGCATTAAAAACTAAAGATTTTGGTCCTAAAATCATTTTTCTAGGACTATTGGGAGCCGAAATACAGCCATTTGAAGTTTCGGGGGCTAGAGACGCAGACGACGAGACACTCTAACTGTCTGCGTCTCCTCTAACGGCTGTATCTCGGCTTCTAGAAGCGCTAGAACATTGGTTTTTGGACTAAAATGAAGCCTAAATTCCGGGGAATATTTACAAGAATTTCGAAAAAAAAATTTTCGATATTGTTCTCTATTCTGGACACCCAAGAAAATCTCATTGTTCTTAAGCAGGAAACCGGAAGTGGGTTTTGCTAATTAGCAGAAAATGAGGTTTCTATTGTTTGAGAACTCAGCGGGATTCCATTGGGGGGGGGGGAACGCTATTGGGCTCTTTTCTAGTTTAGAGGTCCCAAAAAAAAATAGAGGTCCCAAAAAAGTTTAGAGGTCCCAAGAAAAAATAGTGGTCCAAAACTTAAAAATGCACAGATACCGGAATAATGTACTAAAATTTGAATTGTGTAAGAATTTAAAGTTTTGAGGTCTTATAGAAAAATAATTGTTGATGATATATTTTATACTTCTAATAGGCTTAGGAATGCATATTTTCTGACAATTATCTAAGCCTGAGAAACAGCATAATCACGGAGTGATTACTGTATTGCCCAAATTTTCCTCATA